TATTACCTCAAAGGAAAATATTATGTGGAAAACTGGAAACAGAGCTGAGGCTAAGAGAAGCTCCACCCAGTTAATACCTCCAAATAACGTGACCCCTGCAGACACAGCAAACGCACCCCTCGTGATCAGGCGGGATATTTAAACGACCACTTCCGCATTTCCCGTGTGTCTGCTCTGGTTGCTGTGCGAACAAAGCTAGCTAACACATCTGGAAACACCGGTGGAAACTCCTCAACTTGACATTTAGCGTTAAGTAAGGAAGCTAACCTGTCGACAGCCACGTTGTTTCACTACAGGGAGTCTTTGTGAAGGAATACCAGAAGTACTGTGGACCCTGAACGCCACTTAAACCCTCAGCAGCAAATACACCTGCTAGCTAACCCTGCTAAGATGCTAACCAGGTAAGCACATGTGGGCTCAGTTGTTTGTTTGTTTACTTGTGTTGATCATTTCCTGCTTTTTTTTCTCCCGAGAACTTTTGGCTGTGCTTGATATTAGCATTTGTAATGATTTGTCGGGATTGTTTGTTCGGCCATGCTGCTTTCATGTTGCTCATTTCCATCGTGAAGATGTAGGAATATTCATGATCTGAGTATTTTGGAGTGTTATGGCCTGAATTAGCTTCATGGCAACCCCCCCCCCCCCCCCCCTGTGCTTGTTCCCTTTGATTTGAGAGGAAATGCATATTTAGATGAAGGCTCAATTATACATAATTGTCTGGTTAACTTCAAGCTTGCTTTCCACCTTAGTATCCAAACAGCTGATCAGTGTTGTGGTTATTTATTTCTGCATCTTCACTGAGCTGCACTAATCGAATGGCTTAAAGGGATTGTTCACCAAAAAATGAATGGCTTGTGCGGTGCCATCCAAGTGTCCACAAGCCCAGACATTCAAAATCAGCATAGTGGTGATTAGATAATGACTGAATTTAAATGTTTTTGATGATTTCCCGGCACTGCAAAAGTCTTTAGGAATTCATGTGGATAACATGAATGTGTGAGATATTTCTCCAGCACCAGTCTGGCTAAAAATGGTCACAGACGCTGACCCACTTCTCAAAACAAAATTGGCAACTGAATCAAATGGTAACAATCCTGGAGAAAACAATTCTACAGTTATTTTGTCAATTATTATCATTTATTAACCATTTCAAAAATGCCTCATTTTAGAGGAATGTTATGTTATTGTTCTCATTTTCTGAAAGGGGCTTTCATTCATGTCAGGTTTTTTGTAAACACGCTGCCCTTTTCATTTATCACCAACCATTTACCACAAAAGGACAACATACCATGTGTGACCAAACCTGAAGATAATGAGGTCAGTGAGAAAAATAAGAAAAGAAAGAGAAGAAGAGCAAATAATGACCTTTATAGCTTCTGCAATAATTTTCCAATATGAATTCTKACTAATGTGGTCTCTAATGTGAGATCACACAGGACTAGATTTTCCAGATTGGCTATTAAAGCTATAAAGTGACCGTCTTAATCTTTCCTCCATTTCCACTCACACCGTCTTTTAGTTTCAAACCCACCCTCGACACCAGCTCCAGCAGCTTACCGTGTATAGGACATGGCTCCTCGTGACCTTGTGCTGTGGCTATTGTGAGGTTCAACTTTTTGGTGACCGCGTTGTTTTCTCAAACCCGTTGACATTCCTGCGCTGCCAAAAGACCACTTTGGTGATGTGGGGAATTGTTTTCTTGGCACACTTTGGGCCCCTTATCAATACCAATCAATCAGTGTTTGGATGCAGCCTGAGTATTGTTGCTCTCAGTGGTCTCCCCCATTCCAAATCCTTAGTAGCGGATGTTTCCTACAGCACCATATTCATCAATGTTAAACCCGGCATGGCCTCCTCATACACTCTGCAAAGGTGCAATGCAGAGATGCTTTTTGACCTTGAAAGCCTCTGGAGAACGGCTTAAGATAAAATGGATGGGATAAAATTGGATAAAGGATAAAGCGGATTGCAGCTGAATATTAACTAATCGTGTGAGATGTTTGCAAACTCCATTTTGCATGTCTTAATTCCCCACTTTAATTTAAATGGAGGAGAGAGAAATGGAGATGGAGGTGAAATGCAGTGCACAGGAGGATGCAGAGTCACAGCAGATTATGGATAAAGACATTTCTGGGACAAGGAGATAAGGCACCTTAAAAGTTCCTCTTCAGTGTCAGGACTTTCTTATCTTTATTTTTGATGCATCCTAAGTTTCACCTGAGACAAAATAATAATAAAAAATACTGTTTTCGTACAGTATCCCTCTTTCTTTCTCCTTGTGTTTCCAGTTCATTTCTGGCGCTGAGGCTGAACTGAGAGTTTTGTTCTTACTCAAGCGCCAAGAAATCTGCATTTAACCACCTTTAGACTGTTTCTCTTCTTCATTTCAAACCAACCACCTTCCTCTCTTGTGCTATGGCTTTGCATAATCTCCATACAATATAAAGCTACTTATACAACAGCCTGTCAAGCTTTTCAATTTCAGTTCATTTTAAGGAAAAATGTTAACACACATGCATCCTATCAGAATTGCTTTTGTAGCTCTGCTGTGGCAATGTCATCTTCTGTGGTTTTACATGACAGGAAGTGTATTCATTGGACGGGAGCAGTTAGAGCAGTTTGATTGCAATGTGGGTGTTTAAAAAGACCATGCTAGTTGTCTGGTTTTATTAGCCGACATGACTTTACATCTCTTATGTTTGACGTGAGGGAGTATGCTGCGTTGTTCGGTTTAATCTCCAGTCATGTAACACAGAGTAGCGGTGATGGATGCCTGGGTGTGTGTAAGCAGGGACAATATGTTTTTTTCTCTGAAGTCCTACCAAACTACAGGATTTCTGTCTCCATGGCTTTGATTTTACCACATTGTCATCAAACAAAAGTCAGGTATCAGAAATATAATCTCTACAGTTGAAAAGAAAGAACTCTGATTGTAGACTACGCTGGAAGCCCCAAAATACTGGCCTTTGCCCCCACAGGCTAATTCTTAGTTCGATGGTAGGCTCGAGATTTTCTTTCACCTTGCTTTGCATAGTTAATCCAAAATCTATGAAAAAATGATTTCTACACAAAAGCTACACTTTTCTTGTCTTCTCCTTTATTTTACCAATATTTGAAATGGCAAATAAAGCAACATAGACTGAGGCATGTTTGCATCTTTTAATTAGATTTTGGGTGAAGAAGAAAACAACAAAGCTCTCTCAAACTCCTGAGTCAGGGTGCTCTTCACATCATGGGCATTTCAGCACAATCAATTTAAACAAAACTTTAATCGCCATCAATTTGTGAATAGGCCGCATGAGGTGTTCTTCTGTTTTCTATATGGCACAAGACGTTTCCTTTACAAGAAGTTCCTGAATTGACAGAATCCACCCAATCGCTGCTTTGCTTTAATTGACAAGGGATGATTTCTCTGATCAGAAAATCATGCCACTAAAAATGTTCCATTAAAACCCAGCAGCTGTTCAGGGCAACATCTTTGAGAATCTGGCAGCTTAACGCTTCTGCTGGAATTAAAATGGCTCAATGATGCGATGGCTTGTGTTGCATTTTAAATCTGTAGTGAAAACATGTAATGCGTGACTCAGGCTGAGAGAGAGCACTTGTCTGTGCCAGACAAACTGTAGGCCAGCGCTGCAATGTCAGAGAGAGGGCGAGAGCAAATGAAAACCAGAGTTCTGCTCGGAGAGAAATGGAGAAACACTCCAGTGAGACGTTCAACACAAATCAAATCTGCACCCAAAGCTTCAAATATTAAAACATCCACACAAATAATGACAAATGCCAAGTACTTACCACACAGATGGAGAATACCTCTGACTGCATGTATTGGAATTTGTTTGTGTGTGTGTTCATGTTAGAGCTGGGACCACTCTGTAAACTCTCTCCTGCGCTGACCAATAATTGATTAGTAATTCCAGCGATTCTATGGGGCCTTTAGGAGCTGTTGTTGTTTGGGGTTGTACACTGCTGTGATTGTCTGAGCAGTGAGTTGTGGTGTGACCGAGCAAAGTCATATTGGATCAGAAAATAACACCTGGAATGTTCTGAGAACAAGCAGAAAAACAAATCCTCTCAAGTAAATGCTTTTCTATTAGTTTCAGCAAAAACTATGGGCCTGTAAAAACTGGAATATTTCTAAAATCACAAACCTCAGTTTCATATTTAAGAGAAACAAGCCTTCATCAGGGTTTTTTATTTAAATGTGATGGGTTACATTTCTCAGTAGGATCATCTAATTGAATGCCTTTGAGGATCCTGCAACTGTTTGAAACCAGTGATCTTGCAAAAAAGTCACTGTACGCAGTTTTACTGCGTACAGTGCGTAAACTTCAACTCCTTTCTTCTGTCACTTGATCATGTCCTGCCCCTTTTTAGCATCACAGTCTGTTCACTGCACCTTTGACGTGAGCCGACCAGGTTTGATCAGTTGTGCCTTTAAGGTTTGGTTGAACAATGCATCGCAAAGTCTACTTTGTCTTATGGTTGATTTAAAATGGTAAAACAAGGGTGTATTTTCTGTGCTTAGAGTCTCTGTGAAACGTAAAAAAAAAAACGTGCTCATTTTTTACGCTTGCCTGAGGTGGTTTTTGCCCGTTTCAAAAAAGGGGTAATGTGTGAAAACACCTTTCTACGAATAAGATCTCACATAGCAAACATTTAACTCACATGGTAGTTCAGAGGTTTCTGCTTTAAAGGGAGAAAAAGGAGGTGGAAGAGGAGGTGTTGTTTGAGGTTTCTGACATTAAGGAATAGTGACAACTTGCCCAATTAAAAACTTTTCCTTCAGCCCTTTCTCAATGTTTTTCTTGTACATGGTTATAGGAAATAGTTTAGTTCTACAGTGTTAGCGGTGTTCAAACAACAACTTTTGGATCTGATTGGTGACCTTTAATTCTTCTTTTCTGTTAATTACAGCATGAGCATCATAGCCTATCAGCGTCTTCTGACAACACTACAGCGCCAAGTTTATTTACTTCATATTAGTTGTTTTTGCAGCATTGGAAATGTTGAAATTCACTTGAATTATAGGAAATATGGGTACTGTGACTTCAGCGGCAGATGTGCACTTGTCTTGCATTTGATAATAGATTTTTTTTTAAATGATACTGTTGATGTTAAAAGTAAGTTTTGTCATGTTTTTATTTCTTTAAATGTCTTTTTGTCCCAGCCCTAGTATTTGTATTCTTAATAGGTCTGAGAAAATGTTTTTCAGACGCAGACACACACTCAGCACATATTTTCTGGCCTTTTAACTAGCTGACACCTGGCAGGGGCAGCAGATGGCTGTTAACAGCTTAAACTTCTGGCAGATCTGTTTAATTCACAGAGCTCCGGCCCTCTGACTGGATCAGAGCCCAGGAGAGAGAGAGAGAGGGATGGCAGAAGCTCGTTTTTGACTGCCGCTAAGAGGAGCCAAAGAGTGTTTGGCAGAGGTGAGACCAGCTGACACTGTTGACAAGGACTGGCTTTGTGGCCTGAACCTTCCGCTAAGGAGCAGGAGGGATCATGAGAGCAACTCCTACACTACAGGGGCAGGAGCACTTGGATGGCTGTTACATCCCTCTTGACATCATGAATTATACTGTCAACTCGAATGCCATAGAAAGATAATTGTGTGGGGATGGAGTTGATGATGATTCTTTTTGCTTCAGCAGAACAGCAGATAGAGCAAACACACACAACATATCAGCATGTTTGTTTTTTTTTTTGTCTACATGGAAAACACACACGCACACATACACACAAAATCTGCACGTTGTACTTTTCTGTCTTTTTTTTTTCTTTTAAACAAAAAATAAAGCTCAATTCCTCAAACGAAAGATGTTTTCTAGAGAGATAATACATTCGTCCCAAGCGATGGAGATGAAGATTACAATATCTTGATAGAATAGACAAACAGATTAATTACTTCATGGCTAAAACCTGAGTTATTCCAAAGTATTTCCTTATGAAACTGCACAACAATGCACATCAAAAATAAATGATGCATCATTATTCTCGTATAGAGGATTATTTGCATGACTAAAGCTATGCTAATATATTCAATGTTTTATATACACACATCGGCATGTGGGTTATTCATGTATATGTATGTCTCCAGATTATCTGAGAGGGCCAGTCAAAACACAGAACTGTATTATGACAGAATGACTTTCAGCAATTCTTCTTGAAGCACTTAGGCCTCAAAAAGTACAATAGAGGTGTGATGAAAATGATCTTTTGTACACATTTGAATTTTTGATTCTCCTCTTGCGTTTACTCGAAGCAGAGAGAGTTGATTTGGGAGTTCAGTCCTCTGCTTTTTCCTCATTTTTTCTTTTGTTTGTATAGTCTCTGCCCATTTTTGTCTGTCTTTGACTCTGGAGGAGATGAAGAACAGAGGCATTCTAAAGTTTATCTCCAGCCTCCCTCTCCATCCTCTCCCAGCTCTGTCTGGGATGAAAGCAGGTGTGTGACTGGTTTATATCGAGCTGATGGGTGGAGCACAACACGTGGAGCGATGTTCAGTCAATTGATCCGTTTTTTTTAACAGGTTCCTCGTGGCACTGCGGGGGGGGGGCTGCACCTGTTATCCTGGGGTCTTCGTCACAAAAACTCCTCATACTCCAAGAGTTTGGAGTGCTGGCGTGTCTTCCAGAGGCGGTAGAGGCGGAAGTCAAAGTACATCTCAATCATCTCTTTGCCTTGATTGGTAAATGAGGACAGGAAAAGTTTGAATTATGCTTTTAGGAAGCAGAAAAACATTGTTAGCTAAGAGCAATATGTGGGCAGAATTTTATGATTCTAATATACCCACAAAAACACAGCACACACAACAAAACCAGGCTCTAATGCAGGTGATCGGACCTCGACTAACTTCGAGCTTGACCCATGGGGAGCAAGGATCAAAATGTTTCTGCTCCTGCTTTCCAACCCCCATCATTTGTTCTATTATTTTGTGTTAACATACTGTATATTGACCAGTGTAAATAGCTTTTCCTCATTGTTTTACTATTACTGCATATGTAGTGTAATGTTGTCTGTTTGATAGAGTACTGGCAGGCGACATAGTTATAAAAGAGTTCAGGAAAGGAGTGAAAACATGTCTGTGGAAAACCTCTGATGAAAGTGAAGCACTGCAGAGGAGGATTCTGGGTGGACCATAAGCGTGCTTTAGTTATAAAGTGTTGACCAGAGTGTACAGTATGTCCCTACTCCCAGCTGGTAGGAGGAGAGGAGTGGGTTTAAGGTAGTGCAGATTAAAGAGACTGTACTTTCTCCTTTGTGGTGGGTTTGGCACAAAGTGTGACGTATATACTGACTTGAATTGCATCCAAGTGAGTGTATAAGAACAGAATGAACATATTTGAAATGAGAAGAAAAAGTCCTAGATTAATTCAATCAATCAAGAGTAAATTCCTCACTGCAGAGGTTTGCGCTGGACATATGGTGTTTGTTTTTGTCATTTCATAGGCGTGCATGCGTCCTTGTGACCTCCATGTTTGAGTGTGTTTGCATGTTCGCTCCAACCCACCCTGAGCAGACAGCTCCAACGGTGACTCGAACTCGACAGAATAAGGCCTCATCAGATTCTTCAGTTTCTGGAACAGCTGTTGGGCCGAGATAAGAAAGCAAAGTCCAATTAATCCTACTGCACTTGGATATCCTCGCAGCGGGGGGGCTGCAGACACAACAGGCTCATGAATACACAAATGTAGAAACAGAGGCAGGAATGGCAATGAAGCTGGCTCATTACCGCCAAAGAGAATGCACATACTTCCTATTTAGGAGGACGGGTGAAGACATTAGAGGAGGTGCACGTTTTCTGCCTCGCTCCATATGACCTCTTTGCACTTGCATGAAACAATGCAAAACATCTTGCTCTTTTGACAAGTTAAAACAATCTTGCTCGGGGAATTACAGGAAAAGAAACGTATAATATAAGTACACAAGTCTACAAAATATACATCTTGTCTGTTTTTTGACATCGTGATCTGTAAAAGTACTAGCTGGCATCCTGCATTTGTAGTCCTGTAAGTGTTTTTATTTTCTCATACCACAAAACATCAAGAACTAAATTCAAGCTAATACAAGATTAAGTCGTAAAATAATTGGTTGGTTAGTAAATTCATTAATCAAAAATGTCAAATATTTGTCGGTTCCCGCTTCTAAAATGATTTTTTTTCTTCAGTATTATATCATAGTAGATGATTTCGGGCAAAAGGCATTTGAAAAAAAAATCACTTTGAGCTCCAGGACCGTGTGACAGGCATTTTCAGACAAACCCAATTGAAAGGAAAAAAAACAGGGGCATTACTTAACTGTGAAAATAATCATTAATTTGAGCTGTAATGACATAATCACTGTTTGATTTCAGCTTTGCAGTGACTAGGTTTTCCTTCCATTGTCTCTCCTGCAGTGACTGATGTGTTGCGTTGCACATTAAAAACTGAAGCTCACTGATTTCTTGCTTTGATTTCATCATGAGGGATCTCTGTACCTCCCTGTCAGGAAAAATCAAAACCCAAATTCACCTTTGTTTGTCATTTGATGTTAAACTAGGGGTGGTAGAGGAAAAAGCAGCTTTCATTTCTTGTGTTTGCAGTCCTTTGAAAGAAGATAAAAGAAGATGGCGAGTTGCCAGGTACGTCTGTAACGCAGGGAGAGCTGCAGGCTAATAACAAATCTCAAATAATGTGATAATAACACTGTAGACTTCTTTCTGTCCCGGGTGGCTTCATATAAGCTCTCAGTGGCTGCTGTCTTGCTGCCAAGACTTATTCGGATTTGTTGCTGACGAAACTAAAAAGGTGCTTGAAAGTCTCTGGATGGAAACTGGGCTGCGCTGCCTCTCTGACCTGCTCACCTGCTGTTCTCCATCACCCGGCCTTGTTTCCATTTTTCAGCATCCAAGCTGTGTTTCAGAAGAACTAAAACATTTCAATATTTAAGTGCAGTACTCCTGTGTGCAACCTTTTTGTCCTCATTTCAGTTTTAACAGTCCATTCCAGTAATCACAGAGCAGCACCAACATTGTTATGCTGCTGAGCTTGTTTTTCTGATAACTAAGATCCAGACGTCTGATGACTAAGATCCCTCATCCGGGTAAAGGTTATATACTTATGAGGCTATAAAAAGTGGTGGTGACGTGACTTGAAACTGTGAAGTGTGCTGCAAATGTTTTAATGTCCCTCCATCCGGCGGACAGCCAGCGTTTATCGATAACTGGCCGTGATTCACGAACAGAAGGAGATATTATGACCTAATTTCCTGCAACTTACGTTTATCAGCAGCTTACACCCATGAGGTGGAAGTTCTACTTTTATCAGCCAGTTTTATTTTAACCTTATCACGTTCATGAATGGAAATCCTCTAATAGCCCAAACTGAGAAATGCAATAAGTTCTCATTTAATGATAGACGCATTACAATGATATTAAATAGGGAATTAACATGACAAAATCAGCTCCTGTTTTGCATTGCAAATTAGCTCATTTGTGATATTAGCAGAGTGTTTTTATTAACCATGCATTAACTATTATGATTTTACTTTTCAAACAGAGAGGGGGTGGTTTCATTTATCTCTCTGATGATTTCAGCCCACCCCAGTGCGGCTGCAGGCTCATGTCAATATTTATAGGCTTAAATATACATTTTATTGCATAATATCTGGATCGAAGGGCCCCCAGGCACAACTGTACCTTTAGTATGCATGATATGAATGCGCATTAGTGTGTTGAAGCTTGAGACACTCTGTATGTATGGCTTGTTTTCAAATTTGCATTTAGGAAAGTGTGTGAAGCTTTTGCTGATTAATTGAAGACCTGTATGTCCCTGTTGTCATATGCTGGTGATGATGTGTTTGATTGTTTGGCGGAGGATATAAAAAGCAAAAAAAAATTGTGAATCCGTGTCCACGTGCTAGTGGTGAGTGGAGAACGACTTTGTTGTTTCCCAGAAGAGGTTCAACAACGTCAGTGTCATTAACATATCCACATCATGTGTTGTGACGAGTGTGAAAATATCACTCTGGACCATAGACTCTATCTAAAGATGGACGATATGACAGCTCCTCAAAAGTGAAGCCACAAAGTTTAGAATGCCCCCTAGTGACAGCAGCAGACTGACTTGCGATCGGTTGGTCGAGCACGCATTTCGGCAGGACCTCACTAACACACCTCTATGCCCCGATTCCTGCTGCGCCAGACTCTGGGTCTAAATGATTTCATCGCTGCAAGATGGCAGCTTTCGTGTCCTGGATATTTTGGCTTCCTTTCTGGATAGTGAGAGAAGGAGGGGACATTTTGTCCATGCATTCATTTTTAACAACCCTTGAAAAAATGCAAAACACACTAATTTTGTTGCTTTTGATCCAAGCTTTCTTGAAATGACTGCAATTGTGTCTGTCTGAAGGGGAGGAGATATCACTGATGTGCAGTCTGTTCTGCAGACTGTCCCATCAGCCCCGGAGAGATCCACTTTATATAACATAAGCATTTTGGCAGACATGACTGGAACCGACAGTTGTGTCATACAAACCCTGTGTCTTTGTCTTTGACTTTTGGTGCAGCATCACTCAACATGTGTGCCCTGCAGCTACATACAGCAACAATATTACTCAGAGAGAGATAATGGTCACAGGTGGAAGAAGGAGAAAACCTGGAGGAGTGTGTGCTGATTATCAATCAAATAGACGCAGTGAGCGTAGATATGAGAGCAGAGGGCAGCCAACAATGAAACGAGGACAAAGAGAGGCAGAGACAAAAATGGTGGGAGCATGAATTTAGTGTAAAGATGAGATAGGGAACCAAAACGCAATAAATCATCCAGACTATGTGGAACATAAAGCTTAAATGATGTTGTTGTTGAGTCGAATATCAGGCCTAACAAACCACACAGCCTTATAACATCAATCCACTCACAATACTGTTTTTGACAGTCCTACACCCTGTGATTCTCAGAAAACAGGATCCTTCTCCAGGACACACATACAGTAAATATTACTTGTGCCATACGCAGCAACATAGATTTACATGTATGGACAATCAAAATGGCAACATTACAGATATTTTGTGTAGTCATTGATTGTATTTATGTTCTTGTATTTATTCTGCTAGAGCTGTAAACACAGCGAGCATGTGTGTTACTGAAAATGAGATGGTTGCTCAGCCTTTTATGTGTCAACAGCAATTTCTTCCGTCTTTGGAAACAGTCTTATTTCTGCTGCTTCACAGTGGCCCTGACATGTATTTACAAGTTTGCAGCAGTTAAGTTTGAATGGGCACACAGTTTATTTTGTACTCTTGGACTATGTATTTTCCCTTGTGGTGTATATATTAGTAGTGTTGCTTTCCTACTGTTGATGTGCTTTTAATGAGCGTCAAGAGTCCTCAGGATGAGTGCAGCAAAAAGTGTGCAGTGTGCCAAGGTGGTTCAGATAAACTTGTTTCTGGTGCCTCTGCTGTGCCTTGTTTTGGTGGCAAGCTTACGTTACCACTGATAGCGTTTCTGCCAGAGTCGTAAGTAAACACTTATGACTCCAGCAGAAATGAGTTTTTGTGTTGCTTGTTAATAGATATTGGAAAAAGTTCTGTTAATGTGTGTACAGAACGTTTTGTGCAATAATGTGTACATACCTTTTCTCCATTGGGGTTGCCCAGGACATAGCATCCCATTATGTGGATGAGGTTGGGCTCTGGGTTGACTTTACTCATGAAGCGACTGAGTCTTTTCCAGAATCTGAACAAAGACAGAAGGCTACACTCAACATGGGCCATTTCTTTGGATTGGCAATTCCCATTTTTCTGCGTCAAGCACACTGCATCACTGTTATTCAGTTTTCTTAATCCAGCACCAATATTTGTTTTTTCTTCTCTGAATATCACCCCTTCTTCCAGCTTTTACATTGTTATGTTATTAATATATTATTATTATTATTATTATTATTGATGAAATAAAAGTCTCAGTGAAAATAATATAAATATAAGAAAATATAAGGGGTATTTAATAACATGGGGCTGTAGATGACGAACTAATGGTTAAACAGAGATGAACTCAGCAGTTACTCACTGGCTCATGTCCTCCTCCTTTTCCACCTTAGCGAATGTTGCCACTTTGTTCTTCAGTAAATACAGATGACCGGGACCTCCCTGAGAAACACACACACGAGTAAAGCACTTGAGAGAATTCTATATGAAGTAATAACGCCACATATCCCCAATAAAGCAAATTCTGCCAGGAGCACAATCATATTTTTTTAACCTTTGTCTCCTTGTTTCTCACCTGACAAAAGATGAGCATCCTCCAGAACTTGCTTCCTCTCCTGTAAGCTGTGAGTTTCTTCTCGATTTCCTCTGAGAGAAGGAGAGAGGAAATTTGGATTGATGAGGGAGAGAGA